ATATTGACTATGTATTTGACACAGTTGCAACCATTACTGGAAATATTGTCTCCAGTTGTGGTGCCCACACTTCAGGAAGGCTATTCAGGCCTGACAATGGGGGTAACAAAAGGAGCAGCCCAGCAACTGAAAGGGGGCCTGGGGCTCCCAGCTACAGCTGCGCCATGGGGCTCTGAGGGCTGGTTGCCCCAGACCTGCCTTTTCTGCCTGTGGCCCTGCCACTTCTGGAAGCTTCTTTCCTTCCTTCTCCTCCCCCCATCCCCCCCCACACTTTGACCAGGCGCCCATGGAGGCTGTCAACTCCCCTGAGCATATTTAAAAACTGGCTATAGTTCATAGAAAAGCCACAACAATGATTAAAGAATTGGGAAACATGCCCTATAGTTAAAAACTACTCAAGAATAATGTATTTAGCTTATAAAAAAAGATTAAGGGGTGATTTGTTCAAAGTCTATCTAAGCATATAAATTGATGAAAGAGAGAGAGAGAAAGAGCGAGCGAGAGAGAGCTCTTCAATCTAATGGGCAACAGTACTGTATAACAAAATTCAATGGCTGGGACCTGACCTAGACAAATTCATACTATAAAGAGCAACATTTTAACAATGTTTAACACTTGCGAACAGGTGATTGCTAACAGGGAGTTTTGAGAGGGAGTTCTCCAGGTGAAGGAGAAGCAGATACAGGACTCTTGAGGGAAGTGTGTTTTGTTATTGGGGCTTTCTTAGTGTGTGCAGAGCTTGTGTTTGTTTGGTGTGTGGTGGTGTTGGTTGTTTTTTTTTTTTGTTGATTTAGTTGGAATTGGTCCTGCCTAGAGCAGGGGGCTGGACTTGATGACCTTCTGAGGTCTCTTCCAGTTCTATGATTCTATGATTCTATGATTGTGTTAGGTGGGAAAGGAGAAGTGTTTAACAGTAATCCAAAATCCTAATGGACCTGTCAGCTTCTTTTTAAATTAGAAATTGCTTTCTATAGGAAACAGGCTAGCAAGGTATATTTCCTTACTCGTGTGCTAATGTTAGGAAACAGCATGTCATACCTATTGCACTTTAAATGAATGTTACAAATAAGAAATAGCATTTGTTCCACATTTCAAAGAAATATTCTTGTAAGCCAAATAGTAATTTCCAGGTCACCATGTATAAATTATACCTTTTATAATTACAGTACAATTTTGGCTACCTCTAGTGTGTAGTTGATGCATCATTTAATGTGGCTTGTTAATATGTTGTGAGCCGTGAGTGACCCTCATTTAAAAAAAAAGGAAAGGGAAATAAAAGTGGTGATGTTTTAAAATTAATATGGGACTATGAAACATTCAGTTGCACTCTTTTTTCATAAATGAAAATCTTATGGATGTGGGCAATAAACTTCAGTATACAGATTCCAAAGCACAATTCCAATGGCTTCACTTTTTAGAGTTATTTGGAGGGTGCTGACATTTTCAGTAATTAGGACCTCATTTTGCTAGACAAAGCATGGCTACGTCTACACTGGCCCCTTTTCCGGAAGGGGCATGTAAATTTCACCAGTCGTCGTAGGGAAATCCGCGGGGGATTTAAATATCCCCCGCGGCATTTAAATAAAAATGTCCGCCGCTTTTTTCCGGCTTTTAAAAAAGCCGGAAAAGAGCGTCTACACTGGCCCCGATCCTCCGGAAAAAGTGCCCTTTTCCGGAGGGTCTTATTCCTACTTCAAAG